ATTATATTATTAACGTTGTTGTTATTGAATAAACTTATGGATAATTTAATATATATTAACGTTGTGTTTATATTAAATAAACTTATGGATGATTTAATATATATTAACGTTGTGTTTATATTGAATAAACTTATGGATGATTTAATATATATTAACGTTGTATTTATATGGAATTAACATATGGAATGATTTAATAGATATTAACGTTGTGTTTATATTGAATAAACTTATGGATGATTTAATATATATTAACGTTGTATTTATATGGAATTAACATATGGAATGATTTAATAGATATTAACGTGCTTATATTGAATAAACTTATGTCGTTTTCTCAAAGAATACAAAACTAGAGCTATGATGACTGATGGCTTTACCTGTTATTCGTGTCTGTCTTGGCTTTCGTGTTAGATCATGGTCCTCTGGAGCAACAAGATTATCCGGTACAGAATCACTTTTGACGAGGTTGACTTTATCAGGAATAGCCGTGTCCTTATTACTTTGTATCACCATAGTCTGAATAAAAGTTTGTTTTGTTACTTGATGCTTGGAATGTTTGTCAACTTTACTCCATTCGTACCGTCCACTGAGAGGAGTTTCGCTTTTAAAATCAAAGTTCCACCTTTCTCTGTCCAGGTTGTTAATTTTATCCATCTCCTCTCGAACAAACCGTAAATTTTCTTCCCGATCAGTTGGCCCAAAGAGCGCCCGACAAGCTCGAGACGCTTCAGCCGGTCGGCGATCTACAGGCGGTTCTTCGGACCAGGACTGTGCAACATGTCCTGTACTCATGACACTCAACTTGCAAAACGAAAACCACCTAAAACAGCAGTGGAAAATACTTAATTCGGTGATGTATTAATTCTACTGTTATCCTCTTATAGGTACTTTTGAACGTTAGGCGCAAATGAAACTTTTATATTATACATAAGTTATGAGTGCAATGTTTTAAGATAGCCTGTTTTGGAGTCAGAATTACAAGTGGGCGTTACTCAAAGTCACATGATCCTTCCCGGATTTTTATTGGTCGTTGTTGAGCCTGAACGGTGCCAGCGGAGATGGGCTTTAAACTTAACGAGGTATTCTAAACACGTACAAAATCAATTGTGTTGGATTAGTTTTTGTGTGTTTAGATTAAAGATTTTACAATATAAAACTTCATTTAAGTCTAACATTCCTTTAAGAAACTAGTTTTTGTAGAATGATGTTATTGTCTGATGTTTATGAATCTTCTTAATTCAGTCAATAAGAAATTGTGTCATTAAATATTTTTATGAAGATTACCCACGTACAGATGAACTCTTATACCCAATAGATAACCGTTGCGAATAGCCTTTTACAAAATATTGAGGTTTACTTGAAGAGCTGAACAGAATAAGGCCTATGTTTGCTAAGCTTTGTAAAATCGTTGTGTCTCTTTGTATAAATCTGAGAAAAATGTAGGGATTTAGTCCCATGTATTACACGTTTTAGAGAAGTATAACAACTATGAGAATGTTGTCCCCAAAACTCATTAAGGATTTTCTTTTTACATGGCTGGGGAAAACAACACCTTGTGACAAAACAACTCTAAATATTGTGTGTCACTGATTGTGTTCAATAATATAACATTTATTTTTAGCGCATAAAACTGACTATTTTAATTTGAGTTTATTTTTTCTTCTTGTCGTGTTCTGCACCATCATGTATTCAATTATATATTTTTTCCTATTTATCTTAGATTTTCGTAATTTACATGAGATATTACATTCAAATATTAATATATACGGGTTATACTTATTAGACATAATTTAAAGTAAGGGTTATGGGTATAAGGTATATAAGATACAATTCCATACTGAATTAAAAGGTAAGTGGACTCAGGGAGTTGTGACACAAAGTGATGGGTAATGAGCATATTAAGTAACAAATGCTCACGAGAGAATAGCTTTTTGTGATAACAGTGAATGTGCCAGTAATTAGGAATTAAACTAGGTGTGTTTTTCGTCACTAGTTGGTGGGTTCATTTCATAGCGTTTACATTTCGGGATTTATGTAGTTTATAAGAGGAGCTACAACTAAAAATACGGTTGATTTCTTGCTTTGAACCTTTACAGACCGACACTGTTGGCCAGGTCAGTTTAAGCCCAAAGCTTCACAATGGGCTATCTGCTCTGTACCTACTGCAAATATCGAACCCAGATTTTTAGCGAAGAACATTGCGATGTTTAAACTTATTTTACAAGTTTCCTAACAAACTTAAGATAGAGTTAGGCATGTATATTTATATAAGCATAGTTTTTCGAATTTGATTATTTCTCATTATGATGAAATTTCAGGAGAAATTCAATACAAAGTACACAACTAGAGTCAGAATTGTTGTTGTTTGAAGAAAAGAAATTTGCGGAGTTGTCTTGAGATAGAGGCTTCAAGAGTTGCTTTATTCAGAGTTGTGAGTATTAATAAAATATGTTTATACTTTGAATCTGGAAGAGTTGCGAGTATTAGTAAAATATGTTTATTCTGTGAAGCTGGAAGAGTTGCAACTCTTCCAGATTCACAGTATAAACATATTTTACTAATACTCACAACTCTTCCAGATTCACAGTAGAAACATATTTTACTAATACTCAAACCAGTCACATTTAATGTTGACTGCGTGAATGTAACTTAAGTCAAATTAAGATACAAAAACGCATAAATTAATAGTCACGATATGCAATTTTACTCTTCCAGATTCGCAGTATAAACATATTTTACTAATACTCACAACTCTTCCAGCTTCACAGTATAAACATATTTTACTAATACTCACAACTCTTCCAGCTTCACAGTATAAACATATTTTACTAATACTCACTAGCAATCAGAATAGTAAGGTTGGGAGCAAAATTGAATCCAATACAACAAAGGGACTAAAATATCTTTGAACAGAACGAAACAAGCGGCGAGTAAGCACTATAACGCGAGTTTACACTAGTAAAAAAAAAAAAAAAGAAAAAAAACTTGTGTTAAAAATAACTTAATTGTTGTGGATAAAAAAAACTTGTTGACTAATACACAATCTTTGTTTTGAATGTTATGCAATCTTCATACATGTAATAATATTAATACATTAAGACATTTCATAACATAAATTCAAAGTCAACACTGCATAAAAAACAACATTTTGAAATTTATGTCAGGTGAAGAGCGATTCGTTTCTAATATGTCCTACTAATTCCTGGACTGATTAAACCGGAACTCATCACAAAAATGTGACTTCACCACCCAACAATGTATTTATATATATTCAATTCTTAACGGAAAACCGCACGTCATTTTTGTTGTTAGAAAACAAAACAATCAAATGTTAATAACAATATCTCTTAAAAGCACGATTCTTTCACAAAGCACCATCAAAACAATCAAATGTTAATAACAATATCTCTTAAAAACACGATTCTTTCACAAAGCACCATCAAAACAATCAAATGTTAATAACAATATCTCTTAAAAACATGATTCTTTCACAAAGCAGCACGAAACAATCAAGTGTTTATAACAATATCTATGTTAAAAGCACGATTCTTTCACATAGCAGCACGAAACAATCAAGTGTTTATAACAATATCTACGTTAAAAGCATGTTTCTTTCACATAGAAGCACGAAAACAATCAAGTGTTTATAACAATATCTATGTTAAAAGCATGTTTCTTTCACATAGAAGCACGAAAACAATCAAGTGTTTATAACAATATCTATGTTAAAAACATGATTCTTTCACATAGCAGCACGAAAACAATCAAGTGTTTATAACAATATTTATGTTAAAAACATGATTGTTTCACATAGCAGCACGAAAACAATCAAGTGTTTATAACAA